AAAGTGAAGACAGCGTTGGCTGAATGCGCTCTCTATGACTGCATTATACAACACGGAGACGGAGACGACGGCGACTCAATCGGCGCTATCCTTAAGAAGACGGGACACGTGTCGGGCGATGAGAAGGAGTGGCTGAAGAAGTTCCTGAAGAACAGACGCGCCGACCTCTGGGATCCCGTCAATGTGGACACACGGGACGAGTGGCGCGGATCAGTCGATCGCGTCGACGCCATGGTTGTCATATTGAATGATGGAAATATGGATATGCACGGACCCATTCATGTCAAAACACCCAACCACGATAAAACCATTCCATAAACTAGTTCATTTGCCAGTTTTTTATGCATAATGATAACTTTATTATTGTATAAATGTTATTGTTTGTCTAAAATTAATTGTTTACATACTATAAATGTTTAGCATGTAATTTGTTAATAAAAAATATCATTTATTATTTTACTTAAAAATGGTATAATTATTAATTATTTGCGCTTTTATTTAGTAAAATATTATTAATTATCCGATACTTTATAATGAAATTACAAAATTATACATTTTATAATAATGTGAAAATTAGTTGCAAGGTACTTTAGATATTTAAATACATTTAAACTCTATAATATAAAATTATTCCGAGCGTTGCTGTAAGACTGTTGCTCTCTCTCTCTCTCTCTCTCTCTCTCTGACCAGGGTGATTCTGGCAGTCCATTGTACCAATACGTGAATGGTGTGGCTGTACTGATAGGGATCGTAACGGGTAGTGACTCTTACTCTTTGTGTGCTTTCGAAGGCGAGGACCCGGTTATGGTGTTTATAAGAATATCGTATAAAATTGATTGGATTATTAATACCATTATGAATAACACCCCATAGAATATTAAGTAAATATCAAATATTCTATATAACTGATAAATATTTAAATTTTATGTATTTACCTATCTGACAATTTATAAAATTATTGTATTATGGAAATTTTGTCTAATTTTTAATTAATTTTATTTATAAATTAAATTTATAAAATATCATTACAGCATATTGTTTAGTATTGCTCTGATTGTGAAAATAAAGATTATGTTGAAAATGAATTTAATTAAATTATAATAATACATATTAATTTTTATTTATTACACAATCAAGGCAACAAACTATCATTATAGTAATTTAATCATTAATTTGTAATTTAATCGTCATTACAAAATTATATGACATACGAATAATTGTTACTTCAAATGACACTAATATTAAGTAGTTTTTAAGCCGTTTAAACATACAATTATTTAAACAAAACATTTTCAGTAAAATAAATGCAATAAAAATGTATTCAAAATACTTGTGTCAACTCGTATTGTGTAAGATAATAATTAAAATTACTGTTTTATATTTATAGAATAAATAAAACCAATAATTATAATCACTTTTAAAATATCATTTCTAATAATCTAGTGTTTGTTTCGGCGATTGTGTGTTACAGTAGTGTTCACTCGCGTCCCAAACACTACCCGACCGTAACCACTGATGAGTGCGGGCGGGGATTGAAAACACGGGTCAGGGATGACACGTGTTTTACGTTTCACAAACACACTGATGTAATGGCCAACATGCTAAATGGCCGGGCAATTGACAAGGGTGATATGCCCTGGAATGTTTTGGTTATCCTGTATTGCGATGACTTACCGTACAAATTACTTTTGTTGCTTATATTAGATAGAAATCTAATTTATATTTACATATTTAAATTATAGTTTCTTAGGCAGTGGTGTTTTGATGAACGCTCAGTGGGTTCTAACAGCCGCCCATAACATTTTGTAAGTGTTATATAACCTGCAAAATTAACACATCACGATAATCATTTATTATAACAAAAATATATTTTGAAAATTATTAACTTACAATAATTGTAATTATTATAATAATTAAAAACTACCTTAGCTGTGATGCAGGCACAGTCAATAGGACCATTTTAATATACATGGGCATAGTAAGTATGCCGGAAGCATTGGTAGCCAGCCCAATAGAGAGTGACCACATACATCCCGATTACTTAAATGCTGATGAAACTTTGGAAATAGATGATATTGCCCTAATCAAACTCGGTCACCCTGTTCAATTAGACCCTACCGGTGCCAATACAGGTGTGAACAGCATTTGTTTGCCCGACAAAAATGTGACAAACAGTGCTAAAGAATATGCGGTTCTCAACGCATTCGGCGACCCTATGGCTACTCCGGAACCCGAAGGAGGCTTTAATGACACGAATGACGACTCGTGGGACAGGACTCGACTGCTCGGCGGTTGGATAGTAATCAATGCAGCGGTTAATGACGAGGACACTGACTATTATGGCCAGTTTATTATAGGCGAACAATATGGTGGAGCATTCCTCTGCTCGGTAAATATAAGAATTAATTATAACAATTTGTGTGTTCAACATTTAATTAAATAAAGTAATTTGTTTAAATATTCTCTCTCTCTCTCTCTCTCTCTCTCTCTCTGCCCAGGGTGATTCTGGTGGTCCATTATACCAGTACGTGAATGGTGTGGCTGTACTGATAGGGATCGTAACGGGCAGTTCATCCAATTCAACAGTTTGTATTTGGGAAAACGAAGAGCCGATTCCTGTTATGATGTTTATTAGAATATCGTACAAAATTGATTGGATTGTTAACACCATTATGAGTAACACTCCATAAAATACTATATTTAATGTTCTTTATTTATCTGTTGACATTATTTTAAAATAATGTATAATTTTTATGGTAATTTTGTTTAATTCTTAATTATGCTAATTTAGAAATTTGATTTATAGGATTTAGTGTTCTTCAAACAATATTAATTTAAATGTTTATTTGATTGATTGCTTTAATTTAAATAGTTATTAGATTTACTTGTTATTAATTGTCAATTTGCTATTATAATACATAATATACTTGTGGGAAATCTTGAAATGTAAAAGTTTATTATAATAATATTAAATTACTGTTAATTAATATCACTTTATAAAAAAGTATTATATGCTAAGAGTATCTAATTTTAAAATACTTTATATAAATTATTTGAAATAAATATGTGTTTCAAATTACATAAAATTTCTAATTGTTGTCAACCGTAAGAAAATAGTTACAATTAAATTGTTTTAAACGTATCACAAGACAATCATCAAATGGACCAGAATTTTGCGATTACTTTGTTGAAACATTTATTGTGTAAATATTCTATTATGTTATGAAAATTCAAAACTCAATGTCCTTTATAAATTAAAAATTTGTTCAAAAATTATATCCTAAACTAGTGTTTGGATCGGCGATTATAATCACCCGTACAGTCGGTATCAAAATCAAAAGCTATGACAAAGTGACTACCGATGGATGCGGTCTAACCGGTCGACCACATATGGATGACCAGTGTTTCTCGTTTCACAAATCAATGGCACCGATATATAACGGACGCGAAGTTATGCGATGGGAAATGCCGTGGAATGTTCACGTTGTGGCTGACCATTATGATCCAGATGATGATGATTATTATGATGATTATGATAATGGTGGAACCCCGTATGTATACAATGCTTTATTTAATAATAATATAAGTTCTATATGTTTTAAATTTATCTCAATAGTCAGTTAGCGAGCGGTGTTTTGTTGAACAATCAGTGGGTAATGACAGCCGCCCATAACGTACAGTATGTATTTAAATTACCATTTTTATATACCCAATATTTATAAAATATATTAATTATTAAATAATTTAAATTTGCTTTAAAATATTTAAACTGTATAAAAAATATAGCAATAATAATAAGTAAAACTCTTTAAAATATTTACTAAAAAGGGATCAAATTTTTTATTTAATTTTATACTATATTTATATAGTAGTTTATAATTAATATTTAGTGCATAATAATTTATAATTTTTAAAAATATATAATAATTAATAAGTTCCATAAAGAAGGATGCGCATCTGTGTGTTAGCGGGCAACCGGGAATTATTGTTATAAAATGAAAGTACACTTAATAGGTAGTCGAGTGATATACTTTATATGTCCAGATATTTTCGGGTCTGGTCGTAGTGACCACTTTTATCGGTAAAATTTTGAAAGTCAAATCTTTTATTTTATAAATAACCATGTCATATTATATATCAATAGAAAGGTATGGATGAGTAGAATCTAGATCCGAAGGAATTTCTCAAATCTGACATAATCTATAAAAGTTATATCAAAATTAAGAAATTTAGTATCAGTTACGTACGTTTTTTATAGTGAATAATGTAATTACCGAACATCATTTCTATCAATTTTAAATATGCTTACAATGATAATTCATTTCGCAGATTAAAAATTTTTTGAAAAAATTTAACTAAAATTTTTGGCATTTTCACCATTATTTTTGCGCAAACTTCTTTTGCAAACCTTTATAAGTACAATTCAGAATGAAAATAGTAATTTATAAAATTATATTGCCCCTTCTAAGTACAGTATTTTGTACAATTGTTACATACCTGATATGATTTAACGGCGTTTGTTTTAGGCTTAGTAATAAGGTCTAATGTTAAAACCCAGTCATTACATTATATTCAAACCTTAAAATTAAATAAATATGTAGTTTTGTCAATTTCTTTATATACTTGACTATAAGTTTAATGCATAAATTTTAACAATAGACTTTATTACTAAGCCTATTACTAAACCGGTTAATTTATATAATCTACCCATAGGTGCTATAAACTCGGCTGCAATGTTACGGATGTTCGGTTAAAAATGAATTACACCGTTATTGCGGCCGCGGATCGGGTTATTATACACCCACTTCATCGTCGGGAGGTTGACTGGGGCTACGATCTGGCGTTGATTAAGCTAAACACTAGCTTCGACTTTGGGCTACCGGACGCCGGGTATCCCCTGTTTAACAGCGTATGTCTGCCCGAAAAGGGGGCGATCAATAGTGCCCGAGAGTACGCTCTGGTCAGCGGTTACGGCGATATTGTCGACAATAAACCAAGAAAAGGCAATTTGATGGCCGGTTGGTTGACTATTATTAAGCCTTATAATAACGGTACCGATCATTTTGGACAGTCTATCATGCTACACAAGCCGGCGCAACCATACAGTGGCTCTTATATATGCAATGTAATTATAACAACTATTTAATGAATTAATAGACAACGATAAAATTATGTTTAAAATGTATTATGTTAAATAATTGTAAACATTAGGGTGATTCCGGTGGTCCGTTGGTTCAGTACGTGAACGGCCGGGCAGTACTGATCGGTATTAACAGCGCGTCCAACGCTACGGGAGATTGCGGTGACGCTAACGAAGACCCGCCCAATTGGTTCGTCAGAGTGTCCACTAAGATTGATTGGATTGTTGAGACAGTTACCAACAATAGTCCCTGATTATTTTATCTAGTTATTTATTATTTAACATGATAATTACATTTTGCTAAAAAAATTTAGACCATAATAGTTTGTGCAATTTATTTAAATAATTTACCTTATTTTGTGAATGTTTAAAAATCATATCAAATCGATCTTATTGCTTAAAATATTAATTTATATTTTATAGTTTCTGAGTTAATATTTAAATAACATGTACATTTATACTGTATTTTAGTATTATTATATTACAGCTAAATTACACAAATTTTTGTATTGCATTTCAAATAATGTTTTAGTAAAAGTATTAAATATTAGTTAAATAAATATATTTTATATTAAGCTAAAACTTTTAGTGTTTAGTTTAAGCATTATTTAAAATTGAATTGCTTTAAATTACAAAAATATAGTTAACTAAGTTAGTTAACAATAGTGTGAATTGAATATGTTCAAACTTATACTATGTAAGAATATAATGATGATAATTATAAAGTAATACATAATTAATACGTTTATAAAATCAATTCTCAATACCAGTGTTTGGGGCGGCAATTGTGAGCACCGGTAGAGCCGATCCCAAAATCAAGGCTTACGACAAAGTGACTACCGATGGGTGCGGTCTAACCTCTCGATCACATATGGATGACCAGTGTTTCCCGTTTCACAAATCAATGGCAGCGATATATAACGGGCGTCGCGTGAATCGGTCAGAAATGCCCTGGAACGTGGTCGTCGAGGCTCAGCGCAGTGATATCGGGTATATTTACCATGCTATATAAATTATTAAAACAACTTTTACATGATGTAATTTTAACCCATAGTATGATACATGGAAGCGGCGTTTTGCTAAATTCTCAGTGGGTTCTCACAGCCGCACACGTCGTGGAGTATGTATTAACGTTAATATTTCTTAATTGCTTAAATAAATTATGGATTACAATTTTTAGCATTCATAGTATAAACATTTGTCCAAAGTTTTAATATAGTCTGTAAAAAGTGTTAATATAGCCCATAAAACATCATTGACATAATGTTAGAGTAAAACTAAATATGAGGTTAGAATATAATTGTAATAGGTAGAGACTAGTGTTGCCAGAAGCTCCCGGTTGCCCGCGATTCTACCGGAATCAGGTTCTGCATCCCGCAAGAGGTCTCACCTTGATATGAATAGCTTCCGAAATTGAATTGTGCTGAATACACTAATAAAATAATAAAATGTACACTTTTGCATAAAAATTGTTATAAAGTTGAATACTACAATTTTTCAATTTATAATTTCTGTTTTTTATTATCTTATAATTAATTTGTTCAACATTACAATGAGTAGAGTTATTTATGTAAATGCAGTTGAAAATCGCGTATATTTACATCTGACTTCAAGTTTGGCCTCCTCATCTAATAATTATATTTAAATGACTATTTAGGAATATTTTGTCAAAGACAAGTCAAGTAATACTTGGCAAAATCTCAAGGAATCTCACAGAACAATTTTTTTAAAAGTGAATTTATCAAGGAATCGGCAAAAGTTGACATGGCAACACTAGTAGAGACAGAGTAAAAGGTTATTTTGTTATATTATAAATCCCAATTTTTATGTAAATGCAAACATTTCCCTCGGTTTTTATAAACATACTGTTGAGTAATAAAATGTCCACAATTATAGATAATGATACCGTTTTAAAACCTGGACGTATGATAAGTCTTCTCTTAACAATTTAAGCTATAACCAGTGTATTTATTGAAAACCCACCCAATCTAGTTGTAAATCCGTGGCTCCTACCTGTACAATACTGGGGGCATGGATTGTAAACGATGTGGACCCACCACGCAAGATTTTAGCCAATGTTACCAAGACCGAAATCTACCTGTTCTACCAATTAAGTTGCGAGTTTGGTTTTGATTTGGCGTTAATTAAGCTGGAAACGCCACTAGACTTTGGTCCCCCGGACGCCGGGTATCCCGAGTATAACGGCATATGTTTGCCAGAAAAGGATTGGGTGAACGGCGCCGACGAGTACGCTATGACCAGCGGTTACGGCTATATAGGCGACGATATGAGTAACGTCGGCACTCACTTACACGCGGGTTGGGTCTCAATTACACCGCCTTTTAATGACGAAACGGATGAGCATGGAGAATTGATTAGGCTCGAACAGCCAGTAAAGCCATACAATGGCTCCTATATCTGCGTGGTACTTGTATTTATAAAAAAAATTTGCATATTACATAACTATTGTTTTTATGTAAACGCTTATACGCGTAATGTTTGTTTGAGTATATAGGGTGATTCTGGTGGCCCGTTGTTTAAGTACGTTAACGGCCGGGCAGTACTGATTGGTATAACCGTCGCTACTGACGCAAGTAAACAATGCGGTAATCATACCGAAGATCCGGGTAATTATTTTGTCAGAGTGTCCAATAAGATTGACTGGATTGTCGACACTGTCACCAAATATAGTC